CCATGGAGGCTGAAGAACATACGTTTAAACTGAAGAAGTCCCCAGGGTGTCCCAAAAAGCCAATTTTTCCTTATCCTGCTCATGCATGGGTATTTGCCAGTACCCTTTTGTTAGATCCCAAGTGGATATATACCCGGCTTGCCCAATCTTTACCAACAGTTCTTCGATCTGGGGCATGAGAAAAGCGTCAAAGGCTGCCACCTCGTTGACGTTCCTAAAGCTGAGGACACAGGCCCCAGACAGTCCCTTCTCCGGGTGGTAGCAGCACACGTTACCTCCGGACTCTGCGGTGGGGCTCGAAAGGGGGTCTGCCAGGGCTTAGGCGCCCCTGGAGAGACACGTGGAGTCCAGAAGGTGGACGGGCGTGGTGTGGTGGGAGGCTCAATGCTGGAGCTCCCCCTACTGGTCTGCCACACACCCACCTGGGCGTGTGTGCTTTCCTCCACTGCATTGCTTAGGAAGAAAGAGCAGACAAGACTATAACTAAGACTTCCCTAGGAAGCAAGGTGATATTCCTCTTTAGAGTCCAAACCTGGGAGCTGAGCAGGGAATGCTCCCATGTACAAGGCAAGTGTGATAAATGCATTGCAGTAAAGCTCCAAGTCAGCAGCACGCCCAGCTCTTCTTCAGGGACTCATCGTTTTGGATCTCCACCTCTCAGTTCTCCCACAGAGTGAGGAGTGCACGACCCCGAGAAACCCGTAGCCCTGGCATCTAGATAGCACAGTGATGGGGGGGATAAGAGACTGGAGGCAGGAGTAGATGGTGAGGAATCAAACTGCCCTGGCATTCAAGGATTTAACGTGTGAAACGTAAGACAAAACCATTAAGATGAGCACAGTAAGTAATATATTTAATTCAATAATGTTTGGGATTTAATAGACAGGATCTTTCTGAAACAGAATAATGAATTGTATTTAAAAATTATTGCCCCCTGCCACTTTTGAAACAACACACCGCCCACAGCACACCCCGATGCATCCGTCTTCAAGAAAAATGTTTTTTGGAACCGGGGTGTATACAGGACAGGTGCACTAATGAGTGCTTGTTTGGTCCTTTTGAAGGCCTTTATGGCCTCTCCTGACCAGTTTAATAGCCACGGTTTCCCTCTTGTCGTATGTGTTAGCAGGGCCACCATTTCCAAAAAATGTTGGATGACCCTTCTATAGTTGTTTGCGACCCCCAAGAAGGATCTCAGTTGTTTTAAAATCCTGGGTAACCAGTTAGTTCTTATCGCTTCTACTTTGTCAGCTGTTTTATCTGCTTCTGACCTATCTGGAACCCTAAGTGTTCAGTGTCGTCCTGGCCCAAGTTGCATTTCTTTGGGTTTGCCGTCAGTCCTGTCTTTCTTAGTTCTTGTAAGACCACCTGTAAATGTCGACAATTTTGTTCCCAAGTTTGTGAAAAAATTATAATGTCATCAATTTATGTCAAAGCGTAATTCTGGTGAGGGGCTTACATCCTATGCATTAGGCACTTAAATGAAGCGGTCACCCCATGGAGGCTGAAGAGCATACGTTTAAACTGAAGAAGTCCCCAGGGTGTCCAAAAAAGCCAATTTTTCTTTATCCTGCTCATGCATGGGTATTTGCCAGTACCCTTTTATTAGATCCCAAGTGGATATATACCCGGCTTGCCCAATCTTTACCAACAGTTCTTCGATCTGGGGCATGGGAAAAGCGTCAAAGGCTGCCACCTCGTTAACATTCCTAAAATCTATGCACTTTTCCCCCAAGCTAAGGTCAGTATGTGTCAGCCTCGCCTGCTCATCTACCACATGGTACCATGTCATTGGTCATAATCTTTAATCAACCGCTAAGCATCCGTGCCTAATTCTAGTCCGCCGGCCTGCATTCCCCGACCCGTGTGCCAGGGCTGCTGGCCACAGCCTGCCACGTGCCCCCGAGGGCCTCGGACCGCTCCCGGCCCACACACTCTTTAGAGTCCAAACCTGGGACCTGAGCAGGGAATGGTCCCGTGTACAAGGCAAGAGTGATAAATCACAGACTAATACAGAAGTAGGACTGGAAGCAGCTCTGAAGATCCAGGCCCCTGCTGAAGGCAGCATCATACCTATCCAAGCTATTCCATATGAAATCTTGTTTAAACTGTTTCGAAAACTGTGTAGTTAGCCTGCCACACCACTACAGGGTATATTGCCCACAGACACTAAAACTACCAATATTTACCTTAGGTAAAAGAGGGAGATGAAGACTGTCAGCATCCTGCTCCTGGAAGTGTTTTTAATCACATTCAGGATACAGAAATAAGGCACCAGCTCACCCCATCCCATTACACAGAAAGGACACTCCTTCCCCCATAAGTCTCTACCCATCTGTCTCTACAGTAAATTTCCTTCCTGCTCCCAAATGTGGTGACTGGTATGTCCCTGGGTGGAGAGGGAGCACCCTTTAGCCTGGGCTGCAGCCAACACCCCGTGCTGCTGAGGAAGGCAGGGTTGTCGGGAGAGGGGGGCCCTGACACCCTTAGCAAAAAGAGGGGGAAAAATTCCTCCCATCCCAACGTTGCAACTAGCAAAGCCTAGAAACATTGGCCCCCTGATAGATGCAGCCTGTTACAAGCCACAGCGAGATCCTCTGACATGTGGTCAGCAGTAGGTCCAATGAGAGACCCTGGACAGTCCTTCTGACTTCAAAATCTGTGAACCCCGCGTGTTTGCCCATGGACTCTGCTTCTGAGCTATGCAGGGCTCTAGGGTAAACAGTCCCACAAGACCTCCCAACATATACATAGACAACTCACTGACTGAGATTTCAGTCCCTTCTTTGCAGTAAAGCTCCAAGTAACTACATTCCCAGCTCTTCTTCAGGGACTCATCGTTTTGAATCAATTCCTCTCAGTTCTCCCGCAGAGTGAGGAGTGCACGACCCCGAGAAACCTGTAGCCCTGGCATCTAGATAGCACAGTGATGGGGGGACAAGAGACTGGAGGCAGCAACAGATGGTCAGTAATCAAAGTGCCCTGGCATTCAAGGATTTAATGTAGGAAACTGAAAACAAAGCCATTAAGATGAGTGCAGTAAGTAATATGCTTAATTAAATAATGTTTGGGTTTCAATATAGGATCTTTAAAAAATATATAATTAAGTACATTTAAAATTATTTCAGAACTTTATTCTTCATGTAATAAAATTTCTACCATTGTCATAAAAAGTATGCATATAGGTATTCATATGAAAAATGGCATATTTCTGTCCTGAAAGTTTTGCCTTTTCTACAGTAATGTAAGTGAGCCAGGAAGCACGGAGGCAGCCCAAGGCACTGCCTTTGTGGAGGGGGGAAATAGCCATGACCACAGGTCAGCAGCATGGCAGGCAGAGCTGCCCTGTGCATCGCAACTTGCCCTGGGCTTGGAGCTGCCCTGCTAGCATGTCGCCCTCTATCAATAACCCCTGAAGTACCAAGAGTCATCCTGATTCATGGCCACAGAAGATTTTCTGACTAAACAAATAAAGAAAAGATCTAATATCTTTGAAATAGATGAGTTACAACATGTAAAGACCATTGAGGGATGTTGACAGCCCATGCTTATATATACGTGTTTGCCCATGGACTCTGCTTCTGAGCTATGCAGGGCTCTAGGGTAAACAGTCCCACAAGACCTCCCAACATATACATAGACAACTCACTGACTGAGATTTCAGTCCCTTCTTTGCAGTAAAGCTCCAAGTAACTACATTCCCAGCTCTTCTTCAGGGACTCATCGTTTTGAATCAATTCCTCTCAGTTCTCCCGCAGAGTGAGGAGTGCACGACCCCGAGAAACCTGTATCCCTGGCATCTAGATAGCACAGTGATGGGGGGACAAAAGACTGGAGGCAGCAACAGATGGTCAGTAATCAAAGTGCCCTGGCATTCAAGGATTTAACGTAGGAAATTGAAACCAAAGCCATTAAGACGAGTGCAGTCAGTAAGATACTTAATTAAATAATGTTTGGGTTTCAATATAGGATCTTTAAAAAATATATAATTAAGTACATTTAAAATTATTTCAGAACTTTATTCTTCATGTAATAAAATTTCTACCATTGTCATAAAAAGTATGCATATAGGTATTCATATGAAAAATGGCATATTTCTGTCCTGAAAGTTTTGCCTTTTCTACAGTAATGTAAGTGAGCCAGGAAGCACGGAGGCAGCCCAAGGCACTGCCTTTGTGGAGGGGGGAAATAGCCATGACCACAGGTCAGCAGCATGGCAGGCAGAGCTGCCCTGTGCATCGCAACTTGCCCTGGGCTTGGAGCTGCCCTGCTAGCATGTCTCCCTCTATCAATAACCCCTGAAGTACCAAGAGTCATCCTGATTCATGGCCACAGAAGATTTTCTGACTAAACAAATAAAGAAAGATCTAATATCTTTGAAGTAGATGAGTTACAACATGTAGAGACCATTGAGGGATGTTGACAGCCCATGCTTATATATATTTCTGAGACTTGAAGCCAGTTTGAACACACAGCCTTGTGCACATCCTGCCAGCCTTTGATTGCAATCTTCCCAGGTGACTTAGAGCTTAAGATGCTGTCTGTGTCTAGGCTCTATGGCCCTAGGAAGATGGAAATACTATGAGATGACCTCTCTGACTTCAAAATTTCATGCTCATCTGCCTGTGGGTAAGATTCAGGCACTGACATTGATTAAATGATAGGATCTGGGCTTGTAATTATTCCCTTTTCCCACATCACGTGGACTTGCAATGAACCTGAACCTGATGTGAACTGACATGGCCCCTCGGACTAGAAAGGAGCTAGAGCAGTTTATGCCAGTGTGATAGTGCACTGACAACTTCTCCACTTTCACAGACGTGGGAAATGACAATATTGTCACTTTGGGAACCCTGATTTTTATCACATAACTCCTTTTGAACTGAAAATAAAGCAGACCTCTAAAAAAATCAAGTCATAGAAAACTATGGATAATAAATATGTTTTTTTTTGTCTTTCTTCCTCTTGTCCTGACACGTCTGTTCCCTTTCCCTCCGCAGGCATCCCAAAAGGCACTGTGGATGATGACGTCCAATTGCACCGCGGTGACTGAGTTCCTGCTCCTGGGGTTCTCCGATGCCCTGGGATTGCACATCTTGCACTTGGCCACTTTTCTAACAATATACCTGGCAGCCCTGATTGGCAATCTCCTTGTTATCACAGTCATAGCTGTTGACAGCCACCTCCACACCCCGATGTACTTCTTCTTCCTCAATCTCTCCATCCTCGACATCGGATCCATCTCTGTCATTGTCCCCAAATCCATGGCCAATTCCATACTGAACACCAGGCTGATTTCCTATTCTGGATGTATCACCCAAGTTTTTTTAGTCCACTTTTTCATTAGAGCAGACCTCACCATCCTCACCATTATGGCTTACAATCGATACATCGCCATCTGCAAACCACTGCACTATGCGACAGTGATGAACAGGAAAGCTTGTCTGCAAATGGCAGCCATGACCTGGAGCTTTGCTTTTCTGTACTCTGCCCTGCACACGGGGAACACCTTTAGGCTGCCCTTCTGCCACTCCAACATCATCAACCAGTTCTTCTGTGAAGTCCCCAAGCTCCTTAGGATCTCTTGCTCAGAGGTGTTTACTACTGAAATTTAGATTATTATCTTTAGTGCATGTTTAGGTCTTGGTTGCATTGTGTTTATATTTGTGTCTTATATTCAGATATTCACCACTGTACTGAGAATCCCCTCTGAGCAGGGCTGGCATAAAGCAGTTTCCACCTGTCTTCCCCACCTCATTGTTGTCTCCTTGCTGGGTAGCACTGATGTGATTGCCTATGTGAAGCCCACACCTGGGTCCCCATCAGCTCTGGACCTCATGGTGTCTGTTCTGTATTCTGTGATCCCACCAATGATGAATCCGGTCATCTACAGCATGAGAAACAAGGACATCAAAGCATCTCTGTGGAACTGGTGAGATGGAAGTGGTTTATTCCGAGGAAGATGTCAGTTATTCTTCAGTGACTGTGGTTTCAGTGAACATCTTTATAGAAGCAATCAACTGTGTTATTAATATAGATTAATTCCACAAATGTCCAATGTGTTGCTTTAGCTCCCAAGGCACTGCCTTTGTGGAGGGGGGAAATAGCCATGACCACAGGTCAGCAGCATGGCAGGCAGAGCTGCCCTGTGCATCGCAACTTGCCCTGGGCTTGGAGCTGCCCTGCTAGCATGTCTCCCTCTATCAATAACCCCTGAAGTACCAAGAGTCATCCTGATTCATGGCCACAGAAGATTTTCTGACTAAACAAATAAAGAAAGATCTAATATCTTTGAAGTAGATGAGTTACAACATGTAGAGACCATTGAGGGATGTTGACAGCCCATGCTTATATATATTTCTGAGACTTGAAGCCAGTTTGAACACACAGCCTTGTGCACATCCTGCCAGCCTTTGATTGCAATCTTCCCAGGTGACTTAGAGCTTAAGATGCTGTCTGTGTCTAGGCTCTATGGCCCTAGGAAGATGGAAATACTATGAGATGACCTTTCTGACTTCAAAATTTCATGCTCAGCTGCCTGTGGGTAAGATTCAGGCACTGACATTGATTAAATGATAGGATCTGGGCTTGTAATTATTCCCTTTTCCCACATCACATGGACTTGCAATGAACCTGCACCTGATGTGAACTGACATGGCCCCTCGGACTAGAAAGGAGCTAGAGCAGTTTATGCCAGTGTGATAATGCACTGACAACTTCTCCATTTTCACAGATGTAGGAAATGTATGAGCACTAGTGAGTGGCAGTGGCAAGCTGTCTGCAAAAGCTCTGATAAAATACTTTTCCTGTCCGCTTTTTGGCTGAAATGCCACAATTATCCGAATTTAAAAAAAAAATGTATCATGAAAAATATTGTCACTTCGAGAACTGTGATTTTTTTTTCCCCTTTCTCTCCACAGACCTCCCAAAAGACACTGTGGATGATGATGTCCAATTGCACCACTGTGACTGAGTTTCTACTCCTGGGGTTCTCCGATGCCCTGGAATTGCA